CATTTTAAATGAATTGTAGCAATTGTTGTATGTGCGGTGTGGGGTCTTACTGTGGTTTTGATTTGCATTTCACTAGTGACTATTGATGCTAAGTGTCTTTTCATATGCTTATTGACTATTTGTATATCATTTAGAGAAATGTCCATTGGAGTCCTTTGCCCATTTGTAATCAGGTTTTTGGGGTTTTGTTATTGAGTTGTAGCAGTTCTTTATATTTTCTGGACATAAAACCTTATTCATATAATGGTCTGCAAATTTTTCTTCCATTTAGTGGGTGAGCTTTTCACTTTCTTCATAATGTCCTTTGATGTACAAATGGTTTTCATCTTGATAAAGTCCAGTTTATTTTTCCTTTTGTTGTTCATGTTTTTGTGTCATATCTAAAAAGTCCATTGCCACATCTGAGGTCATAAAGATTTATCCTTGTGTTTTCTTCTAAGAGTTTCTTATGGTTTTAGCTCTTATACTTAACTCATTAATCTGTTTTGAGTTAATTTTTGAATATGGTGAGAAATAGAGCTCCAAAATTTCATTTCTTTGCAGGTGGTTATCCAATTGTCCCAGCACCATTATTTGAAAAGATTATTCTTCCCCTATTAAATTAACTTGGCACCTGTATTAATTGGGGTCCTCAGAGAGACAGAGACAACAGGATAGAGATACAGTTGTAGACATAGAAATAGATGTAGATATAAGAGGGGGATTTGTTAGAGGAATTGCTTTGTGTGAATATGGAGGCTGAGAAGTCCCATGATTAGCCAGTTGCATGCTGGAAAACCAGGGAAGCTGGCAGCATGGTTCAGTTTTGACCAAAGAAGCCATGGTGTACTCTCAGTCTGTGGCCGAAGGCCAAAGAACCTGGAGTTCTAATGCCCAAGGGCAAAAGGAAAAGGGCGTCCCAGCTCCAGGAGAGACAGAGAATTCACCATCCCTCTGCCTTTGTGCTCTATCCAGGCCCTCAACCAAGTGGATGGTGCCTACCCACAGTGAGTGAGGGCAGGTCTTCCTTACTGAGTTCACTGACTCCAATGCCAGTCTCTCCGGGAAACACCCTGACAGTCATGCCCAGATACAAGGCTTTACCAGCTATGAGAGTGTCTCTTAATCCAGGCAAATTGACACCTAAAAAACCACAGCACCCTTGTCAAAGATCAAGTGACTAAATGTGAGGGTTTATGTCCAGACTCTCAAGTCTAATCCACTGGTATAAGTGTATCTTTATGCCAGTTCCACACTCTTCAGATTACAGTAACTTTGTAGTAAGTTTTCTTTTTTTAAAATATGTGCATATTCATATTTTGCTATTCTGATATATTGCACTGTGGTAAAGTCAAGGCCTTCAGTGCATTCGTCACTGGAGCAAGGCACACTGTACCCACCACATAGTAAGTTTTTAGATAAGGAAATGTGAGTCCTGGCTGGGCGCGGTGGCTCACGCCTGTAACCCCAGAACTTTCGGAGGCTGAGGCAGGCGGATCACCTGAGGTTGGGAGTTCAAGGTCAGCCTGACCAACATGAAGAAACCCCGTCTCTACTAAAAATACAAAAAATTAGCCAGGTGTGGTGGCGCATGCCTGTAATTCCAGCTACTCAGGGGGCTGAAGAAGGAGAATCACTTGAACCCGGGAGGCGGAGGTTGAGGTGAGCCAAGATCGTGCCATTGTACTCCAGTCTCAAAAAAAAACAAAAGAGAGAGAGAGAAAGAAAGAAAGAGAAAGGTGAGTCCTCCAATTTTCTTTTTCAAGATTGTTTTAGCTATTCTATCTGTCTTTATTTTTGTTAATGTATTTCAATAGTTCTTACTGGGGACCATTCCCTGACCTGCTTCCAGGGGAATCTGACAATCTGGAGACCTTTTTAGGAACTTGAACTAAGTAGAAAAAAATCTTCTTCTTTTTTTTTTTTTTTTTTTTTTTTTTTAGACTGAGTTTTGCTCTGGTCGCCCAGGCTGGAATGCAGTGGCGCAATCTTGGCTCACTGCAACCTCCGCCTCCTGGGTTCAAGCGATTCTCCTGCCTCAGCCTCCGGAGTAGCTGGGATTACAGGTGCCTGCCACAATGCCCAGCTAATTTTTGTATTTTTAGTAGAGATGAGGTTTCACCATGTTGGCCAGGCTGGTCTTGAACTCCTAACCTCAGGTGATCCACCTGCCTCGGCCTCCCAAAGCGCTGGGATTACAGACGTGAGCCACCGCACCCAGCCAATATCCTCATTTTATTTGCTGAGTTGCTTTGTTAAAGTGTGAGTTGCCTGCCATGAACGAATGAAGAGACATTTGAAGCACCTGCCGGCATGACAATGCACACCACCTTCTCTCTCCCCCTGTCCTGTGCCCTCAGGCCCTCTTCACCCAGGCCCAGGTGGCCCCATCCAGGGGCCTCCACAAATAGATTCCTCCTCAAGCTGGCCCACAGGCCGTCCTTCCAGCAAGTGACTCACCTGCAACCTCCTCCACACAACTGAGCTAGCGGTTCTCAGTCCTTCTCTGAGGTCCCCCAGGAAGGGTGATGATCTCATGTAGGTTCACTCACATTAGGTGACACATTCTCACAAACAAACTGGTCTGTGCGCTAAAGCACACAGCCACAGCTCCTGAGGATGTTTTGCCATTGCCAAGTGTTGTTTGTCATGAGATGAGAGGTAAGAAAACAACATTTCATATCATGATTTAGCTCTAAATGACTTTTTTAATTGTATTTTTTTAATTGACACCTAATCATTGTACATATTTATGGGTCCATAGCGAATTGATACATATAAGGTATAGTGATCAGGTCAGGGTGATTAGCATATTCATCATCTCAAACATTTAGCATTTCGTTGTGTTGGGAACATTCAATATCCTCTTTCTAGCTACTTGGAACTATATATTATTGTTAACTATAGTCAGGCCGGTTGCGGTGGGTCACACCTATAATCTCAGCACTTTGGAAGGCGAAGACAGGAGGACTGCTTGAGCCCAGGAGTTCGAGACCAGCCTGACCAACATAATGAGATCAGTCTCTACAAAAAAATCAAAACACTTGGCTGGGCATGGTGGCTCATGCCTGTAATCCTAGCACTTTGGGAGGCCTAGGTGGGAGGATCACTTGAGCTCAGGAGTTCAAGGCCAGCCTTGGCAACATAGTGAGATCCTGTCTCTTTATTTAAAAAAAAAAAAAAAAAATTGAAAAATAGAACAAAAAATTAGCCAGGCATGGTGGCGTGCACCTATAGTTCCAGCTACATGGGAGACTGAGGCAGGAGTATCACTTGATTGCCGGGGGTTGAGGCTGCAGTGTACTCCAGACCCTGTCTCAAAAAAAAAAAAAAAAATCTATAGTCATCCTACAGTGGTATAGAACATTAGAACTTATTCCTCCTCCTATCTAGCTGTATTTTTTTTTTTTTTTTAAAGACAGAGTCTCACTCTGTCACCAGGCTGGAATGCAACAGCGCAATCTCGGCTCACTGCGACCTCTGCCTCCCAGGTTCAAATGATTCTCCTGCCTCAGCCTCCCAAGTAGCTGGGATTACAGGCGCCCGCGACCACGCCTGGCTAATTTTTTGTATTTTTAGTACAAATGAGGTTTCACCATGTTGGCCAGGATGGTCTCTATCTCTTGACCTCATGATCCACCTGCCTCGGCCTCCCAAAGTTCTGGGATTACAGGCGTGAGGCACCGTGCCCGGCCTATCTAGGTGTAATTTTATATCCTTTAACACATCTTTCCCTGTCCCTCCCTTCCTCTACCCTTCCCAGCCTCTGGTATCCTCTGTTCTACCTTTTCCTTCCATGAGATCAACTGGTTTTAGGTTCCATATATTAGTAAGAATATGTGGTGTTTAACTTTCTGTTCCTAACCCAGTTCCATTCATGTTGCCACACGTGACAAGATTTCATTCTCAAGCCCCCAAAGACACCTCACTGGGCCTTTGTTTTTTTGTTTTGTTTTGTTTTTGTTTTTGTTTTTGTTTTTGTTTTTGTTTTTCAAACCTCTGGGATAGATGGCTCCTTCTGAGGCAGCCCATCCCCCTGGTGGACAGTTCTCTCGAATCTTGACAGAAGTCCTCTGGACAACTCATGTCCTCTCCCTAGGCTCATCCTGCACTGCATGGAGCTGGGCAGCCTGGGGACCCTTAATGAACAGGACCTGGCGTGAGTTGACCTTGAAGCCTGGAGGTCAGAGCCCACCTCTGCCCACAGGTCAGGGCCAACTCACATCATGTGGACCCTGGTCAGCCTCCCTGGGGTAGCCCTTGACAAGGCTGCAGGTCTCATCTTGCCCTCCAGGGGGAGACATTGCACACAGACAAAACTCAGGAAACGGATTCCCCTGGTCATGAGCCGGGCTTTGATAAGGAGGCGAAGGTAGAGCCCACTTTCCATTCCTTGCTCCAAAACACCCTTCCTGGCCCTCCCATGTACCTGCTCTGTCCCTTCCTGGGTCCTCTGAGGACCCTGTTCTGTGAGGGGTCCCTGTGCAGCTCCCCATTCCCTCCTAGTACCACCCGTGGGGAAGGTGCGGTGACCACAAGACAATCAGCCTCGCAGAGGACAGAGACCACCTAGGATGGTCAGGGAGAACATGGACAGGCCCTGAGCCTCAGCTCAGCCAACAGACACAGAGAGGGAGGGTCCCCCTGAAGCCTTCCCCAAGGACAGTAGAGCCCAGAGCCACCCAGAGTCATCACAGTCCTCTCTTCCCAGGACCCACAGGACACCTCCCCCTCCATATCCAGGAGCTGCAGCTCCACCTGAGACCCCTGGGCCTGGGTCTCTGTCTCTGGGTCAGAGGCCAGGCTGGTGACACTAGAGACAGAAGGCTGGTCCCTCCCCAGTCATACCCCAGTGAGCCCCTTTCTATCCCCCAGAGCCACCTCTGTCACCTTCCTGCTGGGTGTCTTCCTACCTTCCCAGAGCGTTGGAGAGCATGGGGAAACCTGGAAGCTCACTGTGTCGCAAAGAAAATAATTACCACATTTGGATATGCCAGGGTTTTCTGTGTGCTGCTGACAGACCCATAGCCAGGACACAATAGAGGTCAGTGCTGGAGAGGGGGGATCCTCCTCCCCTGATGAGGACAGAGGTCCCGTCAGCCTTGATTCTCAAAGTGTGGTCTGGGAAACCAAAATGTAGACAGAAAGAAAAGAGAAAGTAAGGACAAAGGGGCAGGAAGGAAGAAACAGAGCCTCCTGGGCAAACCCCGCCCCAGCACACATCATCAGACAAAGCTCCCGGCCCCAGGGAGGAGGCTCAGCAGAGAGGGTAGAAAACAGCAGAGCTGACAGTCACAGCAGCCCTGCCCGAAGCGTTCCTGGAGCCCAAGCTCTCCTCCACAGGTGAAGACAGGGCCAGTAGCAGACACCATGGGGCACCTCTCAACCCCACTTCACAGAGTGCGTGTCCCCTGGCAGGGGCTTCTGCTCACAGGTGAGGGGAAGACTCCCTGGGAAGGGGTGGAAGGAGGGTGCACAGAGAATGGCTAGGGTCCCCTGGGGAAGATGGGGCTCTCTCTGCAAGGGGAGAGAGGGCTTCTCTTGGAGCCAAATAGAAGAGAGGCCATGAAAGAGGGATAGAGATCATAAAAGGAAAGTCTCGGTGATCTGAAACTGTTAGTGAAGAAACGATCTCCCATTTTTTACCTTTTCCAAGTGAATCATCAATGAGCAATAAATTTCAAAAACGGATGACAATAATCACAATTTAAGTCAGTGTGACAATTAAGGAAAACATTTTAAAAGAGGCATTAAACAGAGCCCTGAGCCACCGACCTCAGATATTGGCAATAAACCCCAGGACGTGAAGGGCCCTGGCAACGCTCAGGAACTCATCCACAGGAGTCTGCAGCCTGTCCCAGGCACTGGGGTGCAGCCAATATCACACAAATCCCTGCCGTCACAGAGCTCACGCTCTCATGAGTGGGGAAGACAGACACGCAAAGAGATCTAGAATGTGAGGTCAGGGGTAGACAAGAGCCCTGGAGGGAACAGAGCAGAAAAAGGTCAGAAAGAGAAGACCCAGGGTCTCTAGAGGAGATGTCAGGGAAAGGATCTCCCAAGAACACCCTGATGTAAGCAGGATCTGAGGGCAGTGGGGAGGGAGCCATGCAGATCCCTGGGGAAGAGCATTCCAGGGAAATGACAAGGTCAGAGGCACTAAGAGAATGGGAGTCACACTGCTGTCCTTGACCCAGTAGGACGCACACACTCCAAGGTGGAGGGGTGAAGAGACCTGCTCAGGACCCAGGGCCCCGTTTTTCCACCCTAATGCATAGGTCCCAATATTGACCGATGCTCTCTCCTCTCTCCTAGCCTCACTTCTAACCTTCTGGAACCCGCCCACTACTGCCCAGCTCACTATTGAATCCAGGCCGTTCAATGTCGCAGAGGGGAAGGAGGTTCTTCTACTTGCCCACAATCTGCCCCAGAATACTTTAGGCTACAACTGGCACAAAGGGGAAAGAGTGGATGCCAAACGTCTAATTGTAGCATATGTAATAGGAACTCAACAAACTACCCCAGGGCCCGCACACAGCGGTCGAGAGAGAATATACTCCAATGCATCCCTGCTGATCCAGAACGTCACCCAGAATGACACAGGATCCTACACCCTACAAGTCATAAAGCAAGATCTTGTGAATGAAGAAGCAACTGGCCAGTTCCGGGTATATCGTGAGTGATTCCCCATGACCGCTGGGTGATGGGGGGTTAGTTCTACTTCACACACACAGGATTGTCAGGCCTGGGTTGTGCCTGTGTCCCCCTCTGCATTACACCCCACGTTAAGGTTTGAGCATTTAGTGCAGGACATACACTAAGGGATAGACACCAAAATATCAAATTTCTTACTCCGGAGTCCTGATTCTGCAGACACTTGCTTCAGAGGAAGGACAGTCTGATGTGGGTAACTTATCGAGGGGAGACCAGTCTCAGTGTAGCCCCCTGGGACCCTCCTGGTGAACATGTCCCTAAGAAAGACCCAGTAGGACTCAGTCAGGGTCTGGCCTGAGGGGCCTTCTGGGATCCTCACAGACAGACCCTGAGAAGCCTGGGCCGGTGCTAGATTGTGGCCTCCTGGGCCAGGCTGACTGGGAACAAGAATTTGAGTTATCCAAGGGCTGTGGCTCCTAGAGCTGGTAACCAGCCAGGGTTCAGGCACTAGAGCCTCATTTGGGCAAGGACAGAGCCTCATCCTTCACCTTAGTCTCAGCCTGGAGAGGACAGATGCACAAGCTCCCCAGGCCATCAGCCAACTGCCCTGGGGGCTTAGGAGATGCCATAGGAAGTACAGCATCCCCAGGAGGAGGAACAGAGGAGACAGGATGCTCCTGAAAGCTCCTTGTCCACCAGGGATCAGGCTGAGAGGCACTCTCACAGAATCCAACAATAATAGATGCTGTGGCCGGGCGCAGTGGCTCATGCCTGTAATCCCAGCACTTTGGGAGGCCGAGGCAGACGGACTATGAGGTCAGGAGTTCAAGACCAGCCTGACCAACATGGTGAAACCCCATCTCTACTAAAAATACAAAAAAATTAGCCGGGCGTGGTGGCGTGCGCCTGTAATCCCAGCTACTCAGGAGGCTGAGGCAGGAGAATCGCTTGAACCTGGGAGGCGGAGGTTGCAGTGAGCTGAGATCACACCACTGCACCCTAGCCTGGGTGACAGATCGAGACTCTGTCTCAAAAAAAAAAAGGTTGTTTATTTGGGCAGCTCCCCTATGCCGAGCTGAGGTCAAATAATTACAAATATTTTAACGTTAATTCACAGACACAAGACAAGCCAAAACCTTTAACCATTTATACTGTTTTTCTGAGGTCTGAGGGGAAACTGAGCCACGTGGCAATAAATACAGTCACTATATCAAGGTCACACAGACCATAACTGGCAAATCAGTTACAGGAGATGTGTCTTCAACCACAGCCTCAACTTCTCCTCTACTCCAGGGGCTTTATTTGGCATCTGTGGACCCCAATACCAGAGTTAGTTCAGTTCCTTTCTTCTTAGGCATCTGCAGCCCAGAGGGGAGATCCTGGTCTGGGGAGTGAGATCAAATGGAGAATTAACCAAGTTTTATTCTGGAACTTATTCAACAATTAGAGTCAGTGTCGGAAATGTTCAGGCCTGGGCCAGGCGTGGGGGCTCAAATCCCAGCACTTTGGGATGCCAAGATGGGCAGATCACTTGAGGTCAGGAGTTCAAGACCAGCCTGGCCAACATGGTGAAACCCCATCTCTACTAAAAATACAAAAAAATGTTAGCCGGGTGTGGTGGTGCGTGCCTGTAATCCCAGTTACTTGGGAGGCTAAGGTGGGAGAATCGCGTGAACCCAGGAGGCAGAGGTTGCAGTGAGCCAAGATCGTGCCACTGTGCTCCAGCCTGGGAGACAGAGCAAGACTCTATCTCTTTTTTTTTTTTTTGAGACAGAATCTCGCTCTGTCACCTGGGCTGGAGGGTAGTGGCGCAACCTCGGCTCACAAAGCTCCGCCTCCCAGGTTCACACCATTCTCCTACCTCAACCTCCAGAGTAGCTGGGACTACAGGCGCGGGCCACCGCGCCCGCCTAATATTTTTGTATTTTATTAGTAAAGACAGGGTTTCACTGTGTTAGCCAGGATGGTTTGGATCTCCTGACCTCATGATTTACCCACCTCAGCCTCCCAAAGTGCTGGGATTACAGGTGTCAGCCACCGTGCCCAGCCAAGACTCTATCTCAAAAAAAAAAAAAAAAAAAAGTTCAGGCCTATCCCCTCAGACCCACGCCTCTGCTCCCTGGACTTGAAATCCTGTGTTTCCTGATGTGTTGGTGTCACTCCCACAGGAGGATAAAGGAAAGGACTTTGCTTTCTCTCCCCACTCACACCCTGCACCAGCCAGGGCCCAACAAGAAACACACACTCGCTCAGTAGTTCTCTCATGAATGAATGAATGATTGAATGATCCATAACCTCTTTAGAGATTGGATCTGGTTGCAGAATCCTGGGAGGTTCTTGCCATGCCTGCTCCCCATCCTTCCAGGGTCTGAGACCTATGTTCCATCCCCTGACTATCTGCCCCAAAGCCACCCCAAGTACCACATTTCATATGACTCTCTGGGGCTGCTCAGCTGTGGGAAGGTTTTCAGGGCTCCCTGGTCTTGGTTCTGGGACACCAGAGGCTCCTGGTTGCTGGGGTCTCTGAGGTCACTGTAGCCCCCACTGCTCACTATCATGGGCATCTCTGACTCTCTCCCTCTGCTCCTCCATGTCCTCATTTTCCTCTCCTTTTATCCCAGCTGAACTGCACAGTTTCCTCCAACCTTAGGTCTTTCCCAGACACTCCCTCTTACAAGGCTGACTGTCCTGTTCCCTTCCTGCTCACACTGTGGCCAGGCCCACCTCCCAGGCAGTAGGAAAGGCACAGAAAACAACCCGGAGCAGCCACCCCTGCCAGGTCCATCATGAGCCACTGTCCCCAGCTCACCAGGAGAACGAGCTTCCACTGTGTTCCCATCCAGGACTCTTTCCCTCAGTGAGGCCAACATGAGTCCCGGAACAGGCCACAGGACAGGGACGAGCGACTCCTCCATGCACTCTCTACACTGACTCACCAGGGGATCAGCGGCAGAAGGACAGGTCTGCAGTCCCCAAAGCTCATTTCACCCATTTGACTCCCAACTCCATCCCTGTCCTGCTGTGGGCTCACATCCTCTACTGGTTCCTGGGACTTTCCCCAGGTGGAGCTGTCCAGGCGGGTGCTGTCTGATGGGTTTGCTGCCCATTCCACATACATCTGTGTCCTCATGATGACATCATTGTCATAAGGTGGGATCTCTCGGACAGGGAGATGCATTAGCCACTAGTGTCTCACTTAGACTCTGCCCAATTTGGATGAATTTGGTCAAACTCTATTTGTATTTCCTGAGGTTGAAAGAAAAGGAAGAAAGTATTTCACACAACTGTTTTGGGTTCCTCTTCTTTTTACCTGAATTTCCACAGGAATTTGTAACATAGAACTCTTTCTAAATTTACTAACATAACATACATCACTTCTCCTCATATGGCATCGTTTCTCTCTTAATGCAATTGAGAACCCTCAGATATCCTTTCTGACAAGTTCTGTCTTCCTAACAGGACCCAGGAGTCCCTTCTACCCAAGGAGTCACTGATTTCAAACTGACTTCAGCATCTTTCTTTGATCATAACATGATCCTACCGGACTTCAGAGCTTGGTTTAAGAGTTTATCATGCTCTCTAGAGAAATACTCCTCTTGGTAGTTGGTGTTAGATCCAGAGTATTAATAACAATTTTCACAAACGGAATAATCTAACTTCTCAAATTTATATCCCAGATCTACCAAACACACACAGTCCATGAGGGTCAGATTTTCAGCAAGTTCATGCTCCTTCCATTCCACTAGTCAGTTATTCTGCATTTGCAAAAAACCCACATATTTCAGAAAAGATCCACAGTGCTGTCACCTGCCCTTTTCAGGGGAAGAAGGGACATTAAAAACCAAAGTCAAGGAACATAGTTATGCTGTTAAATCCAGGCAGCTCCTGCCTGTCACCCTCACTCTTTTCTAGATCATTCCTTGGACTCTGCTCTATCTTTAGGAGTCACTGGCTCAAGTCAGTCATCATTAAACACCTGGGAAAAACTGCCCCACCTTGTGGTTCCACTGCCTGACGACTGAGCTGACCTTCAGGCTTGCCCCTGGTGTTCCCTATGTTATTTCTGCTGAAACGTAGAGTCCCAGGCCAGGCTGCACAGTATCCTCAGGGTTTAAGGACAATGGGAAGTCCCATCATTACCCATCTCTAGGATGGGTATCCATCTTAGACAGGGAAGCTGCAGAGAAAACACACCTAGTGGGGCAAAGTAGGACTGTGAAGCTGGAAGGGAGCCAGCACTTGCACGTTCCAGGTGAGGACCCACAGGTGGGCCAGGCAGTCGTCAGCCAGTCAGGGAAAGACCAGAAGTGGTGGGGGCTATGACTCGCAGTCCTGGGTCTGTCCACGACCCAACACTGCTGCTCAGTTAACACTTGAGAAAGTCTGTGCTTCTCTTACACAAAGCAGGCAGCCTCACGGTCTCTGAGCCCTCAGATCATCGTGCATCTGTCTTGTGAAACACACACTTGCCGGGCTTTTAAAGACTCAGGTTGGCTGAGAGGTGGGGAGATGCCAACTCTGAAAAATGCCTGGCCGGAATCCCAGCACTTTGGGAGGCCAAGGCGGGCAGATCACGAGGTCAGGAGATCGAGACCATCCCGGCTAACGGTGAAACCCCGTCTCTACCAAAAATACAAAAAATTAGCCGGGCATGGTGGCACACACCTGTAGACCCAGTTACTCAGGAGGCTGAGGCAGGAGAATCACTTGAACCCAGGAGGAAGAGGTTGCAGTGAGCCAAGATCGTGCCACTGCACCCCAGCCTCAGCAGCAAAGCGAGACTCTGCCTCAAAAAAAAAAAAGAAATTAAGAAAAATGCCCACCCAGGCACGGTGGCTCACACTTGTAATCCCAACGCTTTGGGAGGCCAAGTCAGGCGGATTGCCAGAGCTCAGGAGTTCGAGACCAGTCTGGGCAACACAGTGAAAGCCCGTTGGGCATGGTGGCATGTACCTATAATCCCAGTTACTTGGGAGGCTGAGGCAGGAGAATTGTTTGAACCCAGGAGGTGGAGGTTGCACTGAGCCGAGATCACACCACTGCACTCCAGCCTGGGCAACAGAGCAAGGCTCCGTCTCCAAAAAAAAAAAAGAGAGAAAAGAAAAATGCCTGCGGAGGAATCAAAGGTGCCACACAGGGCAATCTTCTCTCTTTTATCTGTACAGCGGAGCTGCCCAAGCCCAACATCACCATCAACAACTCCAACCCCGTGGAGGACAAGGATGCTGTGACCTTCACCTGTGAATCTGAGGCTCAGGACACAACCTACCTGTGGTGGGTAAATGGTCAGAGCCTCCCGGTCAGTTCCAGGCTGCAGCTCTCCAATGGCAATAAGACCCTCACTCTACTCAGTGTCTTAAGGAATGACACAGGACCCTATGAGTGTGAAATACAGAACCCAGTGAGTGCCAACCGCAGTGACCCAGTCACCTTGAATGTCACCTGTGAGTATTTTCTGTTCCTCTGTGGCCCAGGCCGCCAGCCCAAATCCACGCACCCAGAGGCCGGGCCTCTCAGTCCCTCTCAGGTCTAAGGACACAGACCCTTAACTCTAGACACCCAGGCTGGCCATGACTTCCTGTCCCAAGCAAACCTGGGCAGTCCCAGCCTGGACCAAGAATAGGAGGGGAGGGGCTGCTCCTGTCCTGGGAGGCTCAGGGTCTGCAGCCTGTGATGGAAGAAACAGGTGAATGTCTCAGACCGAGACTCAGTGGACACAGTGGAGGTTTGATTGGGACTTCAGGGTTGTGACTTGGTAGAGAGGAACACTGTGGCCCTTCTCCAGACCAGGAGCTTCCCCTTCCCTCTGATGACATCACCTGTGGCTTTATTTTCTTTGCTCCAGATGGCCCAGACGCCCCCACCATTTCCCCTTCAGACACCTATTACCATCCAGGGGCAAACCTCAGCCTCTCCTGCTCTGCGGCCTCTAACCCACCTGCACAATATTCCTGGCTTATTAATGGAACATTCCAGCAAAGCACACAAGAGCTGTTTATCCCCAACATCACTGTGAATAATAGTGGATCCTATACCTGCCACGCCAATAACTCAGTCACTGGCCACAACAGGACCACAGTCAAGATGATCATAGTCTCTGGTAAGTAATCCCTGGGGCATCGACACTAAGCTCTGGGGTACAAGCTCTCTGGTTTTCAAATAGGAGCAGAGAAGAAATTTTCTTTTCCAGCCTGTATCCAACGGGCAAAACAAGTCCAAATTCTCCCCTGAACCCTCTCAATTCATCTCTACCGACTCTCTTCCCTTTGTTTTTCTGATTTCTCACAGCTGAACTTAGGTCCAGCCTGGAATGTGGGGAGGGAGTTCTCTCAGTCCCAGAAAGCCCCATGTAGCAGGAGGGGCTCCACAGACGGTAAAGCAGAAAGGGTCCTCAAGGTCAAGTAGCTTCTGTCACTGACATTTCCCTCTCTGTAACTTCTTGGCCTTCTTTTACCTACTCCATGAGATATAAGGAATATGTGAGGTTTTAAAACAGGCTCACATTAGTTTTCCCTAAATGAGAGAAGGAAATGCCCTTCATCAGCGATGAGCAGCTCAGACTTTGCTCCCTGCTCTACTCCCAGCTTGCCCGGTGATTGGCTCTGCCCTGACTCCATGTGGGGTAGGACGCAGGTGTGTGGAGAAGGTGGCCAGGTGGCCTGTCGTGAATCCAGCTAAATCAAAATGGCAGTCAATGGCTGGGTGTGGTGGCTCATGCCTGCAATCCCAGCACTTCGGAAGGCTGAGGTAGGAGGATCACCTGACATTAGGAGTTCGAGACCAGCCTGACCAACATGGCAAAAACTCCATCTCTACTAAAAATATTAAAAAAAAAAAAAAAAAATTAACCAGGCATGGTTGTACGTGCCTGTAATCCCAGTCACTAGGGAGGCTGAGACACAAGAATCACTTCAACCTGGGAGGCAGAGGTTGCAATGAGCCGAGATGGCGCCACTGCACTCCAGCCTGGACAACAGAGAGAGACTCTGTCTCAACTGCAATCCCAGCACTTCGAAGGCTGGAGGTAGGAGGATCACTCCTGACATTAGGAGTTCGAGACTGGCCTGACCAACATGGCAAAAACTCCATCTCTACTAAAAATATTAAAAAAAAAAAAAAATTAACCAGGAAAGATATTGGTACGTGCCTGTAATCCAGCCACTTAGGAGGCTGAGACACAAGAATCACTTCAACTGTGGAGGCAGAGGTTGCAATGAGCCGAGATGGCGCCCACTGCACTCCAGCCTGGATAAACATAGGAGAGACTCCGGTCTCAAAAAAAAAAAAAAAAAAAAAAGGCTGGGCGCGGTGGCCTGGGCCCGTGAATCCCAGCACTTTGGGAGGCCGAGAGAGGCGGATCACGAGGCTGCAGACTGGTGACGATCTCACCTAACAGGGTGAAACCCCGTCTCTACTAAAAAATACAAAAAAACTAGGCGGGCGAGGTAGTGGGCGCCTGTAGTCCCAGCTACTCGGGAGGCTGAGGCAGGAGAATGGCATGAACCCGGGAGGCGGAGCTTGCAGTGAGCTGAGATCCGGCCACTGCACTCCAGCCTGGACGACAGAGCAAGACTCTGTCTCAAAAAAAAAAAAAAAAAAAAAAAAGGCAGTCAACACCTGATCCTCTCCTGGGTCAGGCTGCCTCCCTGAGCTTGTCCTGGCTCTGAAGTCACCAGCTGTATGAGGCTGTGGGCACAGCACGTGGGATAGCACAGAACACAGCAAGTGACCCACACTTGGAGAAATCCAGAGATTCAGCCACAGGGGCTCCGCATTGGAGAGAATGGGCAATGCCAAACAGTGTGTATTTGTAGATAAGGTAAGAATATCAGCCTTTTGTTAACACTGTGCCTACTCTCTAGGAATCTCCTTCACTGTGATATTCTATCCACAGACCAGGAAGTAAAACTCCTCTTTACAGTGAGAAATCCTTCGGATTGGAACTTCTCCAGATACTAAGGTCGTGAAGACTGGATGGGCCAACTTCATTCTCTAAAAAATTATTTAATGAAAAAACACACTACCTTCCCTTTTTTATGTAAAGTGACAGTCACAGGAAGGAGGCCTGATCACAGAAAGCTCCAGGAAAGGGTCACACAAAAGTCAGTGGGAGGCCGGGCACGGTGGCTCATGCCTGTAACCCCAGCACTTTGGGAGGCTGAGGTGGGTGGATCACAAGGTCAGGAGATGGAGACCATCCTGGCTGACACAGTGAAACCTGGTCTCTACTAAAAACACAAAAAATTATCCGGGTGTGGTGGCAGGCGCCTGTAGTCCCAGCTACTCGGGAGGCTGATGAAGGAGAATGGCGTGAACCCGAAAGGCGAAGTTTGCAGTGAGCCGAGACCACGCCACTGCACTCCAGCCTGGGCGACAGAGCAAGGCTCTGTCTCAAAAAAAAAAAAAAAAAAAAAAAAGTCAGTGGGCAAAACATTCTACCTGATGATGTTGCTCAGTCTGCACGCTGAGAAGAGGATTCCAAGTAGGGATACAGAGATACCCAGAGGGTCACTCTGAGACAATCTGGGGTCAGAAGGGAAGTGTAGCCCTCTCCTTACAGATCATCACCTGAACAAAGACACCTGACCTTCTGCAGAGGGTCAGGGCTATCCCCTGGTTGGTCACCTTTGCACAGCTCACTGTGGGACCTGAGAGCTGGCTAAGATCTCAGGGAAAGGAGCATAGCCCCAGGCCCCAGGCCCCAACCCTGTTCTCAGGAGGTTATCTCAGATACTCTGTTTGTCCACAGAACTAAGTCCAGTAGTAGCACAGCCCCAAATCAAAGCCAGCAAGACCACAGTCACAGAAGATAAGGACTCTGTGAACCTGACCTGCTCCACAAATGACACTGGAATCTCCATCAGTTGGTTCTTCGAGGACCAAAGTCTCCCGTCCTCAGAGAGGATGAAGCTGTCCCAGGACAATGCCACCCTCAGCATAAACCCTGTCAAGAGAGAGGATGCTGGGAAGTATTCGTGTGAGGTCTTCAACCTAATCAGTAAGAACCGAAGTGACCCCATCGTGCTCATCGTAAACTGTAAGTGACTCCTCACCCCTTCCTATATGTCCCTGGAGGATAACTCTGCCAATGGTGTGCAAAATGGATAAAACTCACATGAGGCAGAATCTCAATGAAGAGACCACTATAGCAAACAGAATTGCAAAGTGGTTAAGAGCTTAAGCTCTGAATCAAATATACTTAGTTTTTTTTGTTTGTTTTTTGTTTTTTGTTTTTTTTTTTTTTTTGGTTGGTTGGGTTTTTTTGTTTATTTTGTTGTTTTGAGACAGGGTCTTGATCTGTCACCCAGGCTGAAGTGCTGTGGTGTGATCAAAGCTCACTCCAGCCTCAATCCCCTGGGCTCAAGCAATCCTGCCACTTCAGCCTCCAGAGTAGCTGGGACTACAGGTATGCACCACCATGCCTGGCTAATTTTTTAAATTTTTTGTAGAGATGGGGTTTCACTGTGTTGCCCAGGCTGGTCTCAATCTCCTAGTCTCAGCCTCCGCCTCCCAAAGTGCTGGGATTACAGGAATGAGCCACTGTGCCCACCCTGTATTTAACTATTCTAAGTACCTCTCATACAGATGGAGGCATGCAATATTTGTCCTTTTGTATCTGGCTTACTTCATTTAGCATAATGTCTTCAAGGTCCATCTATGTTGTAGAATGTATCAGAATTTCATTATTTTTGGAGACCAAATACTATTACACTGTGTAGATAGATATATCACATTTTGCTTATCCATTCATCCATCTATGGACAGTTAGGTTGCTTCCACCTTTTGGCTATTATGAATAATGCTATTACACACATGGGTATACAAACATCTGTTCAAATCCCTGCTTTCAGTTCTTTTGAATAGATACTCAGAAGTGGAACTGCTGGATCAAATGGTAATTCTGGTTAATTTTGAAGAACCATCATACCATTTTCCACAGTGGTTATACCATTTCACATTCCCACCAGTAATGCACTAGAGTTCCAATTTCTCTACATCCTCAAAAACATTTGTTGTTTTTTTGTTTTGTTTTGTTTTGTTTTTTATAAGGGCCATCCTAATGGTTGTAAGGTGGTATATCATTGGAGTTTTGATTTGCACTTCCCTAATGATTAGCAATATTTAGCATCTTTTCATGTGCTTATTGGCCATTTATCTTCTTTGGAGAAATGTTTATTCAAGTTCTTTGCCCATGTTTTAATTAGGTCGTTTGGGGATTTTTTGTTGAGTTGCAGTAGTTCTTTATATATTTTGGATATTAATCTCTTATCAGATACATGATTCTCAAATATTTTCTCCCATTCTATAAGAGGTCTTTTCACTTTTGTGATAATGTGCTTTGATGCACAAAAGCTTTTAATTTTCATGAAGTTCAATTTCTCTATTTCTTCTTTCGTTGCCTATGCTTTTGGTGTCATAGCCAAGAAATCATTGCCAAATTCAACGTTCCAAAGTTTTCACTCTATCTTCCAAGAGCTTTATAGTTTTAGCTCTTACATTTGGGTCTTTTATGCATTTTGAATTAATTTTTACATATGGTGTTACATAAAGGTTCAATTTCATTCTTTCGCAGGGATATTCAGTTTCTTCAATGCCATTTGTTGAAAAGACTATCCTTTCCCCATTGAATGAACTTGGCACCCTTGTCAAAAACCATTTGGCTATGTATGCAAACATTTCTTTCCGGGCTCTATATTTTATTCCACTGGTTTCTATTTCTTTTTGCCAGTACCATACTGTTTTGATTACTGTAGCTTTTGGGTTTTGTTTGTTTGTTGTGTTGTTGTTGTTTGGGGTTTTTTTGTTTAATTTTGTTGCTTTTCTTTGTAGAGATGGGATTTCACCATGTTGCCGAGGCTGGTCTTAAACTCCTGAGCTCAAGTAATACACCCGCCTCCACCTCCCAAAGTGCTAAGATTATGGGCGTGATGATTACCGTAACTTTGTAAAAAATTTTGAAACCAGGAAGTGTGAGCCCTTCAACTTTGTTCTTTTTCAAGATTGCTTTTCAGAGTCTATATAAATTTTAGAATGAATTTTTCTATTTCTGCAAAAAATATTACTGGAATTTTGAGAGAGATTGCACTGAATATGTAGATCACTTTGGGTAGTACTGTCATCTTAACAATATTAAGTCTTCTAATCCATGAAAATGGGGTGTCTTTTCCATTTATGTCTTATTTAATTTCTTTTGGCAATGTTTTGTATTTTCAAGGTACACGTCTTTCACCTCTTTGGTTAAGTTTATTTCTAAGTATTTTTAAAGCTCTTATAAACATAATTTTTTTCTTAATTTTCCTTTGAATTGTTCATTGTTAGTATACAAAAATACAACTGATTTGCTGGGCGTGGTGGCTCACGCCTGTAATCCCAGCACTTTGGGAGGCCGAGACAGGCGGATCACGAGGTCAGGAGATCGAGACCATCCTGGCTAACATGGTGAAACCCCGTCTCTACTAAAAATACAAAAGAATTAGCCGGGTGTGGTGGCTGGGGCCTGTAGTCCCAGCTACTTGGGAGGCTGAGGCAGGAGAATGACATAAACCCGGGAGGCGGAGCTTGCAGTGAGCCGAGATCGCACCACTGCACTCCAGCCTGGGCGACAGAGCAAGACTCCGTCTCAAAAAAAAAAAAAAAAAAAAAAAACTGATTTTTGTTTGTTGATTTTGTATACTGCCACTTTGCTGAATTTATTATTCTAATAGCTTTTTTGTGGGATCTCTAGGGTTTTCTATATATAAGTTAGTGTATTCTGCAAACAGGTATAATTGTACTTCCTTCCAATCTAGATGCTTTTTTTTTTCTTGGCTAATTGTTCTGTCTAGGTCTTCCAAAACTACATTGAATAGAAGTGGCAAAAGCAGGCATCCTTGTCTTGCTCTTGATCTTAAAGGAAAAGTTTTCAATCTTTCACCATTGACTATGATGGCTGCTGGGGGTTTTCACGTGTAGCATTTATTATGTTGAGAATTTCCTTCTATTCCTAGTTTCAGTGTTTTTTAGCATGAAAGAATGTTGAATTTTGTCAAATGCTTTTATCGACTCATTTTCATTACTGCTTATAGGTCTATTCGGATTTTCTATTTATTCATGATTCTATCATGGCAGGTTTTGTGTTTCTAGAAATTTGTTCATTTCATCCAGGTAATCCAATCTGTTGGCATTCAATTACTCATAGTACTCTTATAATCCTTATTATTTCTGCAGAATTAGTAGTAATGTTTCACTTTCATTTCTGACTTTAGTAATATGAATCTTCTTTCTTTCTTAGTCAAGCTAGTTACAAGTTGTCAATTATAATGGTCTTTTTCGAAGAACAACTTTTTTTTTTTTTTTTTTTTTTTTTTTTTTTTTTTTGGTTTGAGACAGGTTTTCACTCTGTCACTGAGGTTGATCATGGCTCACCGCAGCCTTAACCTCCCAGGTTCAAGCAATCCTCCTGCCTCAGCCTCCTGGGTAGCTGAAACTACAGACATGCACCACCCCCCGCCCCCAGCTAATTTTTGTAATTTTTTGTAGAGACAGGGTTTCACCATCTTGCCCAGCTGGTCTCAAATTCCTGAGTTCCAGTGATACACCTGCCTCAGCCTCCCAAATTGCTGGGATTACTGTCGTGCACCACTGTACCTGGCCTACAGTTACAAATTTCTTTCTTGCACAAGATTCTTAACTACTCTGAGCCTCGGATTCCTCAACCGAAAATTGCACTGAGAATGCCTGCTCCACAGTTTTGCAAGGCTTTTGGGTTTTTGTTTTGTTTTTGAGACAGGGTCTCACTCTGTCACCCAGACTGGAGTGCAGTGGTGTAAACACAGCTTACTGCAGCTTTAACCTCCTGGGCTCAAGCAATTCCCCCACCTTAGCCTCCTAAGTAGTACATGCTATCACACCTGGCTAATTTATTTTTATTTTTGTTTTCAGAGAGACAGAATCTCACCATGTTACCCAGGCTGGACTCAAATTCCTGGGCTCAAGCAATCCTCCCATCTCAGTTTCCCAAAGTGCTGGGATTAGAGGTGTGAGCCACCACGCCTGGCCCCTTAGTGTTATTTTAAAGATTTAATGTAATAATAAACCTTCAGCAAAACACCACGCACAGAGGAAATGTTTCATAAATGTTAGCTGCTATTACTACTGCTTTTATCATTAGCCTTGAAATCAGGTAGTCCTAGAGTCAAATCTCAGATCCACCTCTCACTAGCCATCTGACTTTAGGTAAGCTTTTCACCACTCTAAGCTTCCATTTTTTCATATTTAAAATGGAAATAATGTCTACCTAATAGCACCATTTTATGGATAAAATGAGATACATGTAAAGCATTTAGCAGCACAGGGCCTGGCACACAGGAAGTACCCCACAAAAGTAGCTAACATAGCATTAATCACCAGCCTGAGTTGACTGGTGAGGGTTAAGCCCCAAATAGTTGCAACAGATATAAAGGAGAAAAGGCTGGACACAGTGGCTCACATCTGTAATCCCAACACTTGGAAGACCAAGGCTGGAGGATCTCTTGAGCCCAAGAGTCCAAGACCAGCCTGGGCAATATAGTGGAATCCTATCTCTACAAAAATTATTTTTCTAAATTAGCCAGGTGGGTGGGCGTGGTGGCTCACACCTGTAATCCCAACACTTTGGGAGGCCAAGGCAGGCGGGTCACCTGAGGTCGGGAGTTCAAGACCAGCCTAACCAGCATGGAGAAACCCCATCTCTACTAAAAATACAAAATTAGCTGGGCGTGGTGGCACGTGCCTGTAATCCCAGCTACTCAGGAGGCTGAGGCAGAAGAATCGCTTGAACCTGGGAGGCAGAGATTGCAGTGAGCCGAGATCACGCCATTGCACTCTAGCCTGGGCAACAAGAATGAAACTCGGTCTCAAAAAAAAAAGAAAGAAAGAAAAAGAATTAGCCAGGTGTAGTGGCATGTGCTTGTAGTCCCAACTATTGAGGAGACTGAGGTGGGAGGATCACTTGATCCCAAAAGGCTACAATGAGCCATGAGTGTGCCACTGCACTCCAGCCTGGGTGATAGAGTGAGAACCTGCCTCAAAAAAAAAAAAAAAAGAAGAAGAAGAAATAGATGCAAAAGGTGTTATTTATATATTTATTTTATATATATGGGGGAGAAGCATTATACAAGAAACCCACTGGGACATGGCTATGATCAAATATGGGAAAGGGGAAAAAAAGGAATTAAAGCAAAGTCTCAAGCCTGGTATGTTAATTTCCATCTACCTAGATACACTGAAGATGAGATTAAACATACGAGATAATTTACTGGGGAAATGCCTGTGAGGGAAAGTGAGGCGAGAGTGAGAGGAACCTCAGACCATGATGCGGATCTGATTCCTGTGGAAGAGAAAGAGAGGAAGGAAGTTTTAGATTGCAGTGCAGTTTTTTTTTGTTTGTTTGTTTGTTTTTTGTTGTTTTTTTGAGACACAGCCTCACTCTGTCACCCAGGCTTGAGTGCAGTGGTGTGATCTCGGCTCACTGCAACCTCCACCCCCCGGGTTCAAGTAATTCTCCTGCCTCAGCTTCCTAAGTAACTGGGATTACAGGCGCCTGCCACCGCCCCCGGCGAATTTTTGTATTTTTAGTAGAGATGGGGTTTCACTATCTTGACCAGGCTGGTCTTGAACTCCTGACCTCGTGATCCACCCGCCTCGGCCTCCCAAAGTGCTGGGATTACAGGCGTGAGCCATGGCACCCGGCCTGCAGTGAAGTTCTATGAGCGTTTCTGCAAGGCTGACAGGGAGTCCTCCAGCCATTCACACTTCAGAGTAAAACAGTCACGCAGAACTGGGCTTGCTTTCATACCCCTGCTGGGAGCCAGTGGGAAGCCAGTTCTCTATGCAAAAGAGGTGGTGAATTCAGAATGCACAGATTGTCACAACTGAGACACTGAGAAAAAGATGCAACCACGAAAAAGGTGGAAAGTTCTAATCATATACAAAATAGCAATCAGCCTTTCTCCCATTTCAAAGCCTTAAAAATGTCTGAGTGTAGAAAGGCCAGGGTGGAATTGACAGAAGAGAGATCATCAACCTAGAAACATGGCGATTGGTGCTGGGCGCGGTGGCTCATGCCTATAATCCAAGCACTTTGGGAGGCTGAGGCAGGTGGATCACAAGGTTGGGAGTTCAAGACCAGCCTGGCCAAGATGGTGAAACCCCGTCTCTACTAAAAAAATACAAAAATTAGCCAGGCTTAGTGGCACATGCCTGTAGTCCCAGCTACTTGGAAGGCTGAGGCAGGAGAATCGCTTGAACCTGGGAGGCAGAGGTTACAGTGAGCCAAGATCTCCAGCTGCACTCCAGCCAGGGTGACAGAGCAAGACTCCGTCTCAAAAAAAAAAAAAAAAAGAAGAAGAAGAAGAAGAAGGAGAAGGAGAAGGAGAAGAAAAGAAAAGAAAAGAAAAGAAAAGAAAAGAAAAGAAAAGAAAAGAAAAGAAAAGAAAAGAAAAGAAAAGAAAAAAAGAAACATGGTGATTGAAAAAAAAAATTGCAAGGATATAGTTAGCTAATCACTTTCCAGCAACCTTCCTACAACGAAACTGTATTCCTTGAAGGAACTATTAGAAACTACTTCATTCTGAGAGTTGTTTCCCAGCCCCCACTGTAAAATAATTTCACCTTCATTTCTTCTCCTCTTTTCTTTCCATGATAGATAATGATCCAGCACAAGAAAATAGCCTCACAGCTGGGGCCATTGCTGGCATTGTGATTGGAGTACTGGCCCTGGTTGTTCTGATAGCAGCCCTGGCATGTTTTCTGCATTTTAGGAAGACTGGCAGGTATGATGGCCTTTCCTCTTGTTCTATTTCCTCCAAGGCTGACTGCCATGCTTGGGAGAGGGAAAGAATTTCTTTGCCTGTCTCTGGGCCTGGATCTCATTCTCCTCCCACTAAACTCCTGCTTCTTGGCACTAATTCCCACAGGTTTCCTCTTCCCTGGTCTTCATGCTCCCTATCTCCCATTATCTCCTGGACAAGGCTATTCCAATCCCCATCTAATCTAGAGGAAGAGACTCAAGTATGTTTCTCTGTCCCCTAGTCAGGGAAAGCAAGGTCTAAGAAGGAAAACAAATGAAAAAATGGAAGAAGCAGCAGGAGAAAGCAAGTCACATGTTCTGTTGACCACAGCAGGAAGAGGAGGGAGAAATAGCATAGGAAGAGAACCTAAGAGAAAGCAAAAACAACCAAAGTCCTCTTGAACAATAAATAGAGAAGAAAAAAAAAAAAGTATCTACCCCGGAAAACAAAATGGGAAAGGTTTTAAGGATAGAAGTAGGCACAGAAGCAGATGATAAACAATGAAACGAAATGTGAACATCCAGCAAACAGGAAAAGATTAAACACTAGAAGGGACTGTAGTTAGACTAAGGAATGAGGCCCTCAGAAGAAAGGCAGTATGAACATCAAGGACGCCAAGGAATTACCTGCTCACAGTGTCCTTCCTAACTCAAAGAACAAAGATCCTGTGCTTGGGAATAGCAGTCACAGTGTCTGATATTTATTTAGGGCAACCGACCAGCGTGATCTCACAGAGCACAAACCCTCAGTCTCCAACCACAGTAAGTAAAGCCACTTACCCAGTGAGAACTGGTATGTTCTACCACGTGCCCTCCCCTGGCAGGGAATCCTGGATTCCCAAACCACTCCCTCCCTTGTGAATTGTCACAGAAAGGATCTCTATTTCCCAACCCTAAGTGGCATAGGTCTTCCCACCCTTCCTAGCCACAGGAGTCCCCTGAGACACATCTGAGGAGAGAGACTCACTCTGCCTTGGCCAGGCAGGCCTGAGGAAGATCCCGTGTTTCCAGGAGCCATTTCCTCAGCCTTACTCCTTCCACCTCCTGCCTCTATTATGGATGTGGGCACTCTCCCTTGGTGAGACTTTCCTTCTCTTGTGGGTGCTGTGGGTGCTGCCCCTCCTTGTCACTGGAGCATGTTGGTGAGAAATACATCTGGGCAAAAATCAAGGCCTTGTGAACTGGTAGAACTCTTCAGAAGTGGATTGTGGCCTCCTGTGGCTCTGCCCCTGCCCCCTCTCTGGTAGTAACGTGCTGGGTCTGGACCATACACTCTGAGGGAAGCAAATTCCTTAACTAATCCTTAATCTCCCCACCCTCCAACTGCCACCCCCTTCAGCTAGAATCACCTTAAGTCAGCTTTGCATTTCCATGGATTGCTAACTCTTCTTTTGCTTTTCCAGCTCAGGACCATTCCAACGACCCACCTAACAAGGTAAGCATATCCGGTTTTCATGGACTTATTTTCTCATGGAAATGACTCTGTAGAGAATTGGTTATTCCTGAAGACACAATGTAACATCAAGTTTGGGTTAATGTTCCTCAGTGCAACAACAAAGAAATATTTGTAATCACTCCCATGAGTCTACCTTGCAGCAAGAATGTGCAATTTGGAATTATTCCCATCCTGTGTCTGAATACTGGATGTTACTCTTAGTAGCTCTGTGACCCTTGTCAAGTAACCTAACCTCTTTGATCCTCAGCTTTGTCATCTGTAAAATGGGCATTCTGCCTACTTCAAAGAGAAGTTGAAGGGATTAAACAAGATAACCTACATAGAGCACCCAGCACAATGGCCTACAAAAGGAAAGCACTGAATCATTCTCACTCCCCTACCTTCAGTCTGATCCTGCTCTTACAGTCAAAACGATAATTTCAATTTTAATAGATCTGAGATCCTGTTTTTTATAATAATTGTATAGAATTTTCCATTTTATGGCCGGGCGTGGTGACTCACACCTGTAATTCCAGCACTTTGGGAGGCAGATCACGAGGTCAGGAGATCGAGACCATCCTGGCTAACATGGTGAAACGCTGTCTCTACTAAAAATACAAAAAATTAGCCAGGAGTGGTGGCGGGCGCCTGTAGTCCCAGCTACTCGGGAGGCTGAGGCAGGAGAATGGTGTGAACCCAGGAGGTGGAGCTTGCAGTGAGCTGAGATCACGCCACTGCACTCCAGCCTGGGCGACAGAGAGAGACTCCATCTCAAAAAAAACAAAAAAAAAAGAATTTTTCATTTTCATTTTACCTTTTCTATAGAGCAAACACACATACTGAAAAATGCTAAATCACAATTATACTTTCACAATGTATGAACTTTCACAAGTTGAACACACCTAGGTAAGCAGCACCCAAATCATGAAATACTACACGACCTCCCCTTAAAAAGAAACCCTTCCAGCCAGGCACAGTGGCTCACACCTGTAATCCCAGCAGTCTGCGAGGCCAAGGCAGGTGGATCACTTGAAGTCAGGAGTTCTAAACCAGCCTGGCCAACATGCTGAAACCTTGTTTCTACTAAAAATATAAAAAATTAGCTGGGCGTGGTGGTGGATGCCTATAATCCCAGCTACTTGGGAGGCTGAGATAGGAGAATCGCTTGAACCTGGGAGGTGGAGCTTGCAGCAAACTGAGATCGTGCCATTGCACTCCAGCCTGGGCGACAGAACGAGACTCCGTCTCAAAAAAAAAAAAAAAAAAAAGAAAGAAACTCTACCAGTCACTTCCCTCCAAAGAGCCAAAGAGTAACCACTATCCTGACTTCTAATGCTCCAGATTAGTTTTGCTTGGTTTTGTTCTCACATAAAGGAGAAATATAACATATCCTTATATGTGGCTTCTTCAACATTGCTTTGTGAGACTCATCCATATTGTTGTATGTATTTGTGGTTTACTGGTTCTCATTGCTGCATTATCCTATTCCATTGCATATATACCATAATTTCTCTCTTCTAATGATCATTCATCAGGAGGTCAGCAAGCAGAGAATGGGTAACAACAAAAGCCCTTCTCCAGAGCTAAAATTTCAAAATGGTAACAGCTTGTGGTGCTGAATCACACCAGGCAAGGTGAGGCCCTGCCCTGTGTCACTGACTTAACTGATCATTACTTGTGCTTTTCAGATGAATGAAGTTACTTATTCTACCCTGAACTTTGAAGCCCAGCAACCCACAAAACCAACTTCAGCCTCCTCATCCCCAACAGCCACAGAAATAATTTATTCAGAAGTAAAAAAGAAGTAACGAAACCTGTCCTGCTCACCGCAGTGCTGATGTCTTTCAAGTCTCTCACCCTCATCACTAGGAGATTCCTTTCCCCTGTAGCGGTAGAGGGATGGAGACAGAAAGAATTTTCTGCTACTCTTTCTTCCTAATAGGCACCTCCAGACTGCCTGGTCACAGCCCCTCCCTCAGTGTCAATAGATGAAAAGGTACATTGGGAGTCTGTAGGAAACCCAGCTTTCTTGTCATTGAAATTTGGCAAAGCTGACTTTGGTAAAGAGTGGCCAAAACTTCCCCTCCCTTTCCCTTTTCCCCACCTGGACTTGTTTTAAACTTGCCTATTCAGAGCACTCATTCCTTCCCACCTCAGTCCGGTCCTATCACTCTAATTCGGATCTGCCACAGCCTTGAGGTTATGTCCCTTTCCATTAAGTACATGTGCCAGAAAACAAGAGAGCGAGAAAGGCAGTAATGCCTTCTATTTCTCCAAAGCCTTGTGTGAACTCACCAAACACAAGAAAATCAAATATATAACCAATAGTGAAATTCCACACCCTTGTCCACTGTCAGGTTGTCTACCTGTAGGATCAGGATCTAAGCACCTTGGTGCTTAGCTAGAATACCACCTAGTCCTTCTGGCAAGCCTGTCTTCAGAGAATCCACTAGAAGCAACTAGGAAAATCACTTGCCAAAATCCAAGGCAATTTCTGATGGAAAATGCAAAAGCACAGATATGTTTTAATATCTTTATGGGCTCTATTCAAAGCAGTGCTGAGAGGGAGGGGGTTATAGCTTTAGGAGGGAACCAGCTTCTGATAAACAATCTGCTAGGAACTTGGGAAAGGAATCAGAGAGCTGCCCTTCAGCGATTATTTAAATTATTGTTAAAGAATACACAATTTGGGGTATTGGGATTCTTCTCCTTTTCTCTGAGACATTCTACCATTTTAATTTTTGTAACTGCTTATTTATGTGAAAAGGGTTATTTTTACTTAGCTTAACTATGTAAGCCAATCCGATTGCCTTAGGTGAAAGAAACCACCAAAATCCCTCAGGTCCCTTGGTCAGAAGCCTCTCAAGGTTTTTTTGTCAGAGGCTCCAAATAGAAAATAAGAAAAGGTTTTCTTCACTCATGGCTAGAGCTAGATTTCACTCAGTTTCTAGGCACCTCAGACCAATCATCAACTACCATTCTGTTCCAAGTTTGCACCTGTGCATTTTCTGTCTGCCCCCACTCACTTTCTCAGGAAACCTTGGCCTCTGCTAAGGTGTATTTTGTCCTTGAGAAGTGGGAACACCCTACAGGGACACTATCACTTGTGCTGCTGGCATTGTTTACAACTAGAAAGCTGCACTGGTGCTGATGCCCCTTGAGGAAACAGGGCTGTGAGGAGGAGGATTGTAACTTAGGCCTAGCCTTTTTTAACAGCCTCTGAAATTTATCTTTTCTCCTATGGGGTCTATAAATGTATCTTATAATAAAAAGGAAGGACAGGAGGAAGACAGGCAAAAGTACTTCTCACCCAGTCTTCCACACCGATGGAATCTCTTTGGGGCTAAGAGAAAGGTTTTATTCTATATTGCCTACCTGATCTCATGTTAGGCCTAAGAGGCTTTTTCCAAGAGGATTAGCTTGGAGTTCTCTATACTCAGGTACCTCTTTCAGGGTTTTCTAACCCTGATATGGACTGTGCATACTTTCCCTCATCCATGCTATGCTGTATTATTTAATTTTTCCTGGCTAAGACCATGTCTGAATTATATATGAAAATTGTTATATGTTTTTATAATAAAAATAATATATCAGACATCAACATGCTGCCTCATGGTTGATACTACCTTAGACAATGTTTTTCTCTACAGGCAGAATAAACAAATTGTTCAATGGGGAGTCAGAGTAAAACTATTTCTTTTTTTTCATTTTTGAAATAGAGTCTTGCTCTGTCACCCAGGCTGGAGTGCAGTGGCACTATCTCAGCTCACTGCAACCTCCACTTTCCTGGTTCAAGCAATCCCCCATCTCAGCCTCCCCAAGTAGCTGGGATTACAGGTGCATGCCACCATGCCCAGCTAATTTTTTTGTATTTTTAGTAGAGACGGGTTTCACTATGTTCGCCAGACTGGTTTCAAACTCCTGATCTCAGGCAATCCGCCCACCTTGGCCTCCCAAAGTGCTGGGATTACAGGCGTGAGCAACTGCGCCCGGCCGTAGGCCATAAAACTATTTCTAAGTCTACAGATATTTGATCTAGTGATCAGAGAATTAGGTAAATTCATTTGCTTACCTGCTAACAAAGAGAGTCTATCTGGGAGCAACAGACCACAGCTCCAACATGCCTGGGAGGAAGTGCCTACCTTCCTCTGGGACAGAAGATGATCTCATGAGTAAAAGACCTCCCAGCCTCTTCATTAGGGGCCAACAACCCTTCCCACTCTGGCGGCTCCAGTGAATTAGATGTAGCAATACAAGGGTCTCCACAGGTTCATTCACCTTCTAACTCTTCCTGGTTCCCAGTTCCTTTATTCTGCCCTCTAGGAGGGTCAGATCTCTTCTAACCTGAGTAGCCTTCATTTATTAATTCTGCTAAGTACTAAGCTATAACCTCATTTTCTTCACTTCCAAGCAATTGAAACACATGTGCTGTCTTTCCCTTTCCTCATCACCTAATTTTTCCTGGCCCTCTGCAGTGCCTCCATACCCAAGATCGCTGGAAACAGCACAAAATCAGTATCCATGTCTTGGCCAAATCCAAAGGCATTGTTACGGTCCTCACACTTTTTCCTTTTACAATATCTAAGATCACAGACAACTTTTCCGTTCTGGAAAGTTCTCCTCCCTCCATATCCCACTTATGTACTGCTCCCCGACACCAGATTTAGTACTCAGACCTTTCTTATCTCCATCCACCCTCTTTCATCAGCTTAGTGACCTCTCTGGAGATGGCTCTTAATTTATATCTCTACCCCAACTACTTCCAGAACTCATGACACCCACAGCCAAATACTGTGTGAAATTACCCATTTAAACAAGCTCTCCCACACAGCTCACTCATTTCTCCCAGTGACACCTCCTAAGTTTCCACAGCCCCTGCTCATTTGTTTCCAGATTCAATACACTGTGAAAGCCTCTTGATCCTTTTTTAACAACTCTCAGTTATACTGTTCTCACCATTCCCACAAACCTAACTGACCCAGACCCTCAACAGCACACAGTCTTGCTTGACTTCTTGTCTCCAGTCTCTCTAAAATCTTCCTTGCATACGACTGCCTCATTACCTTCCTAAAAACTAGTTCACAGCCGGGCGCGGTGGCTCAAGCCTGTAATCCCAGCACTTTGGGAGGCTGAGACAGGCGGATCACGAGGTCAGAAGATTGAGACCATCCTGGCTAACACGGTGAAACCCCGTCTCTACTAAAAAATACAAAAAACTAGCCAGGCGAGGTGGTGGGCGTCTGTGGTCCCAGCTACTCGGGAGGCTGAGGCAGAAGAATTGCTTGAACCCAAGAGGTGGAGGTTGCAGTGAGCCGAGATCGCACCACTGCACTCCAGCCTGATGACAGAGCAAGACTCCATCTCAAAAAAAAAGAGAAGATAAATCTTGAAAACATTATGCCATGCAAAAGAAGCCAGACACAAAGGAGCACATGTTATATAATGTCATTGTTCTTTTTCAGACAGGGTCTCACTCTGTCACCAGGCTGAGTGCAGTGGCACAATCATGGCTTACTGCAGCCTTGACCTCCCAGGCTCAAGTAATGCTCCCACGTCAACCTCCTCAGTAGCTGGGACTACAGATGCATGCCACCACCACACCCAGCTAATTTTTTATTTTTTGTAGAGAGGAGGTCTCGCTATGTTGCCCAGGCTGGTCTTGAACTGCTAGAGGCAAGTGATCTTCCCGCCTTGGCCTCTCAAAGTGCTGAAATTACAAGCATAAGCCATTATGCCCAGCCTATATGATGCCATTTAAATGAAGCTCAAAAACAGGCAATTCCAATTAATGGTGTTAAGAATTCACCCTAGAGGGTGGGATTAATGGCACAGGTGCTCAAGGGAGCTCTGGGCTGATGGAAATGTTCTACATCTCAATTCAGGTAGTGATTGCATGGGTATACATATTTACCAAAAATCAACTTGTATACTTGAGATCTATATACATTTCAATATATTTTAATTTTACTTCAATTTTTAAATATAAACTAAGGAAAGGAGCCAATAATTCAATCTATCAGGTACAAAGCACCTGTATTCATGTTCTATTGCTATACAATAAACCACCACTAATTTAGTGGCTTAAACAACACTTACTCATTAGTTTGCAGAATTCAGTTCCTTGAAGTCATAGTTTGAGTTCCCCATTGTCCTGTTGTCGGCCAGGGACTATTATTAGCTCCTAGAAGACCTTCTCAGGTCCTAGCACTGTGACCTCCTCCATCTTAGCCATGGAGAACCTCTCTCAAGTCAAATTCCTCTCACACTTGTACTCTCTCTAATTTTCCCTTCTGAGACTAGCCTGAGAAAACTCTCTGATTTTGCTTTTAAAAAGCTCACATGATTACATTAGGTCCACTCAGATCATTTCCCTTCTGATTAATTCAAAATCAACTAAGTTGTAACCTTAATTATGTCTTCAAAATCCTGTTTGCCACACAAGGTAACATAATCATGGGTGTGATATCTCATCATTCATAGTTCCAGGTATTAGGGGCCATCTTAGATTCTGTGTACCAAGCACACATAAAGCCATTGGTGCTTTCTGGAAGCTCCTTTATAATCCTGTTCAGAGGAAGTGGCAAAGAAGTCAAAAATGATCAATCCAACATTTTTTTTTTTTTTTGAGACAGTCTCACTCTGTCACCCAGGCTGGAGTACAGTGGCACGATCTCAGCCCAATGCAACCTCGGTATCCTGGGTTCAAGTGATTCTCGTGCCTCAGCCTCCTGAGTAGCTGAGATTACAGGTGCATGCTATCACACCAGGCTAATTTTTGTATTCTTTTTATTAGAGATGGGGTTTTACTATGTTGGTGAGGCTGGTCTCAAACTCCTGACCTCAAGTGATCCACCTACCTTGGCCTCCCAGAGTGCTGGGATTACAGGTGTGAGCCACTGCGCCTGGACCCCAACTTTTATTTTTAGAGACAGGATCTCACTATGTTTCCCAGGCTGGAGTGTAGGGGCACAATCATGGCTAATTGCGGTCTTGACCTCCCAGACTCAGGCGATTCCTAGGTTCAGCCTCCTGACTAGGTGGGACCACAAGTGCATACCACCACATGGGGCTAATATTTTTATTTTTTGTAGACACAGGGTCTCGCTATGTTGCCCAAGCTGTTCTTGAACTCCTGAACAGAAGCAATCTTCCTGCCTCGGCCTAACAAAGCGCTGGGATTACAGGAGTGAGTCACAATTTAATGTGTAATAAGATACTGTTATTAGTCTGCTATAACAGACTATATGGCTGCCATAACCAAGTACCAGAAAGCCTAAATGACTTAAGCAACAGAAATTTATTTCTCATGGTTTTGGAGGTGCCTTCTTGCTATCTCCTCACATGGTCTCTTCTCTGTACCTACACATCTGTGGTGTCTCTGAGTCCAAATTTCCTCTTCTTTAAGGACATCAGTCAGAATGAATTAGGGCTCACCCTACAGGCATTATCTTAATCACCTCTAAAGCCCCTATTTCCAAATACAGTCACATTCTGAGGCACTAGGGGTTAGGGTTTCAACAGAAGAATTTTAAGGGAACACAATTCAGCCCATGACAGAGACCAAGGACAAAAAACAGAAACAAGAAAGCAAGGACCAGGCCAGGCGCAGTGGCTCACACCTGTAATCCTAACACTTTGGGAGGCTAAGGCGGGCAAATCACCTGAGGCCAGGAGTTCGAGACCAGCCTTGGCAACCCGTGAAACCCCATCTCTACTAAAAATACAAAAAATTAGCAGCGTATGGTGGTGCATGCCTATAATCCCAGCTACTCGGGAGGCTGGGGCACAAGAATCACTTGAACTTGGAAGGTAGAGGTTGCAGTGAGCCAAGGCCATGCCACTGCACTGCAACCTGGGTCACAGCAAGAGACTCTGTCTCAAAGCAAAAAAAAAAAAAGAAAGAAAGAAAGAAAGGACCCCCATCTCCTCCCAGCCTAGAAATGTCTGAGTCAAGGATATACCCATTGCCCTCAAAGCTCTAGCAATGTTCATACACTGATAATAGCTAGCACCAAAGTTAACCCCTGAAAAACTAAGATTATCAGAAATTGAAAGGCATTCCAAGAAACCAACCAAATATCAAACAGGACCTTTTCTAGGTGTCTGATTATTTGTTTAACAAACATTTATTGAGGACTTACTATATGTCAAATATTAAGCTAGGTGTTGAAGAGAACATGAAGATTAAAAAATAAAGTCCTTCTGATTTGGATTCTGATTCAAACAATCCTACTATTTAAAAAAGAAGAAGAGGAGGGAGGGAAAGAACAAAGGAAGGAATGAAAGAAAGAACAAATAAATGAAAAACGGAAAGGAAGAACAATTATAAGGTAATTGCAGAAATTTGATCATTGGCTGGATATTTTATGATATTAAGGAGGAAATAATCTTTTTTTTTTTTTTTTGAGACGGAGTCTTGCTCTGTTGCCCAGGCTGGAGTGAAGTGGCGTGATCTCCGCTCACTGCAAGCTCCGCCTCCCGGGTTCACAACATTCTCCTGCCTCAGCCTTCCGAGTAGCTGGGACTACAGGTACCCACCACCACGCCCGGCTAATTTTTTTGTATTTTTAATAGAGACGGGGTTTCATCATGCTCACCA